ACACCTTTTTTTTATGTTACAAATATTCAATCCAAGACTATTAATATCATTAAATTTTACAACTTGATTTATTTCTACTTTTAGAGCTCATGTCTTCTTTAGTTTATTTTTTTCAAAAGAATTGGTTGCTGACATAAAAAAGGACCCAACTATAAAGTCTCGCTTATGTGGCATGAAAGAGGTTTGGTTAAAACATTTTCATTATCCATTTTCTTAGCATAATATAAATAAAATTTTCATTATAATAACATGTGAGGGAATTTGTAGATGAACTTGGAGTACTTTGCCATTGATAGCCAGGTATATAATCTCATTTACATAAATTGATTTATTTTTTTAACAAGATTTATTTAAGTTAAAATTATACCATAACAGTGTTTTATCATTGATCTTGAGAGTGCGTTGGAAGAACTTTATGGGGATGAAGAATTTTCCTGAAAAGGAGATGAATGTGTAATTGTCATGGCTAATTGTATTGCAACTATATTTGCTTCAATCTTGGTATGATTTTATAAAAGTTCATTTTTTGACCTATTTATTTATCAAATATAAAGGTTAAAAATTAGCAACGTACTTATATTTATTTTCATATAACTGCTTAGTTTAACCCATAATAGCAATGTACTTATATTTTGTAGTATGTGTTAAAGAAAATGTGAGTACATTGTTATTGTGAGTTAAATATTATTATTATTGTTGAAAAATGTGAGTATGATGTTATTATGGGTAAATAAATGTAACTATGAGTAAAAAAATAAAGTGTATTGTCTATATTTGTAAAATGAGTATGCTACTATTTCTTACAATTTACTCATATTAGTTTAGGAGTTCCCATTTATGCGTTACCGAGCTGCCAAATCACTTGATCCCAGAACAATGACAACATTTTGTGATCTAATCCCTACAAAACTTGCAGCTTACAGTTTGGAATAATCTTATGAAATATAAAACTCTCAACCACTTCCCACACATTGAAACATGTAATTTGTTCATTTCTATGCAAGTCGTATCAAGACCTCTTATGTATATGTAATATGGTTTCATTAATATAATATTATGTTCTACCATTTGCTACAACTTGAAATAAGGAAAAAAAAAAATACAGCGCCAAAGGCGCAGATAATTCCCCTCTAGTTCATATAAATATATCCATGGTATAAATATTATCACTCATAATTTTGTTACTAAACGATCAAATTATTTTCCAAACATCTATACTTATATTACATCCCACACAACTTTAGCAATAATAATAATAATAATAATAATAATAATAATAATAATAATAATAAAGAAATAAATAAATAAAATTATAATAAAACTTCAAAATAATTCATGAAAGCTACTTCCATTTATTTGTTATGTAATTCAATCTCAAGCCTGGATGTGCCTAATTAACAGGGCTTAGCTTGACCTTCAAACCATGTTTCATGTGGCCTATAATGGAATCGCCTAGACAAACCTCATGACCTTGGACAATCTCCACATGGTAATGATAAATGATAGCAATGGCCACCATTTTCATCTGAATAAAACTCATTTCCTTACCCACACATGTCCGTGGCCCCGCATTAAACGCTGTAAACTTATAAGATGGTTCGTGCCTTACCCCTCCTTTTCCACCTTCTGAAAACCATCTTTCCGGTTTAAATTCCATGCAGTCCTTCCCCCATATCGATTCCATTCTTCCCATGGAGTAGAACGACAGAATAATCTTGCTGTCCTCATTCACTGCATGCCCGCTTGGGAGGACGTCTACTTCGGATGGCGACTTGTGCTGCAAAGCAACAGGGGGATACAGCCGTAACGCTTCACATAAACCTCCATGAAGATAAACCAGACTACTCAACTCTTTTACACCCAAACTTTTCCAGTTTCCATCACCAACTTCCTTCGCAATCTCCCTTCGGATCTTGCTCTCTATGTTAGGGTTTTGCGCAACGAGATAGAAAAACCATGAAAGACTTGCGCTTGTGGTGTCTTTCCCGGCAAACATCAGATTCAGTATGATATCTTTTATATACGTTCTCGAGTCCCCCGAAGCCCCGGTTTGTCCTTGGAAACTTGTCGTGATGGATTTTAACAACCCTGTCGTCGTCTCCTCCTTCTCTACTCTTCCATCATTAGCAAACCCTTCATCTTTCCTTGAGAAACATTTATATAGAAATTCATCAAAAACCCTACGAGCTTCGGTCAACTTCTTCTCTTTGCCTATCCCTAATCTTTGTTGCAACTTCCAAACTTTTTCTGGCAACACATGCCTCCACAGAAGAGCTTCTTCGGCGTCAGTGAAGGCCTTCTCGCATGCATTATATGGTAAATGGACGGACATGATTTCAGGATCAAAATCTAAAATTAATGAACAGATAGTGTCGAAAGTAAACCTCTGAAATATTTCCTGTAAATCGATAGATTGCTGATTATGAGAGACCAAATCAAGGAGAGGGAGAAGCCCTTTCTCGATCTTGTTCTTGATATTTTTTTCCAGGTGAGAATTGAAGTCTGGGTGTTTGAGTAGAGACATGATTGTTTTCCTTTGGATTTCCCATACCTCGTTATCTGAGTTAAAGATCCCATCTCCAAGGATATCAAAGATCTTTCGGAACTCTGGTCCTTTTGGATAGTTGGGGAAGTTCTTGCTCAACACGTAGTTAATGTTGGTGGGGTCCGAGGTGAGAAGCATATCCATATTGGAAAACCATGGACCTTTAAGCATGAAAGTACCATTGCCCTGTTTGAGAAGATCAGTAGCAAAATCATTGATTCGGTAAGCATTTAGAATGAGATCGGGGGCCATGCCAATAACGGGCCAATTAGTACCAGGGAGGGACCTTCTCTTGTAAAGGAACACGGAAATCGAAACAAACAACAAAATGCAAAGGAGAAACATATCGAGGCTACAGAGCAAAGCCTTTGGATTTTGTTTAATGTTTGATATCGATATCGAGGCTCGTTTGTAATTTATAAAGGCAAGGAGACATGCATGCAGGATGGCGACCACAATCCGATTTTTCCACTGCCACCTAATTTTAAAGTAAAGTTACAGTTATGCCCCTGATTTAAATTAATAGAATACAAGCTGACAGCTAGTCAATCGCATAAAAGATAATGAAAACCATCAAAACTTTAGATGTCGTCACTTGAATCTATAATATTACAATGTAAAATTTTCGTACAATACATAACTGCTGTCAGAGAAGTATTAAATCATGTAAACGTATAGAAATTGCATCAACGTATGAATGAACTAAAGCTGAAACAATTTAACGAAGTAACACAGAATTCTGAGAAAACTCCAAGTTCCATTGGTGGTGAGGGGCTAGGAGAACGTAGGTCGATCGTGCGATGGTAGATGATGATATCAGTCTATTAGAGTAGGGAGTTATTGCGATTTCATAAACACTAAAGGTAAAATAAAGATTACCATTTCTTGTTAACGAATTAGAAGAATACACCACATATAATAAGGTTGTAAAAAAAATCCGTATGAAATAAAAAGATAATCATAATCTAATACGTTAGGGTATCCCGTACTAGAAAAAGTGAATACTAGTGAATACGATGGCTAATTTACCAGGTACATCTTTGAAATCTAATACGACTTAAAAGCTAAATCAAATAAAGCTTATTGGATATGAGATGTGAATATCCATTTCATTCTAATTCGGCTCACCATTAGGTTCATATAGAACTCATATGATAGTTGTAGATACCTTTCGCATACCATAAGAAGTATTTTTCCTTGTGTTAATTGAAAGTTTGCAAAGTTAAGATGCCTTTTGTTGTTGCCATGGATTGATCTGACTTGTTAGTTTCGTTTTTATTTATTTATTTATTATTATTATTATTATTATTTCTTCTGTTACTAAAATCTATACTTGATTGGTATTTAGGATCATTTGTGTAAAAAAATCTGCAATAGGGACCTACTCTTTTAATTTCTATTACTAAGGATCAATTAGGCTTACATTTTCTATCACAGGGGCCATTTTTGTAATTGTTTATGGACCATTTATGTAAAAAAATACACACAGGGACCTATTCTGTAAATTTTTATTACACAAGGACAAACAGCAACAAGTACACCTTTCACTTCTCCTCATCATTCTTACTTTTTTATTTTAAAATCTCCTTCCTAAATTTCTCAAAAAATCACTTTTATTATCATAAAGGCATGACATTTTTCACTCTTATATAATTAATTTTCATATTTTACATTTCTAGTTGCATTGTGTCTTTCGAGACATCATGGCATAACAAAATGACCAACTTTAGCAATTCAGGCATACACAGTTCCTATGTTTTAAACTAATGATCATCAAGTATATTTTGCAGTAGGAAATAGAAATGTACTTTCATTGATTTGTATTTTAGAGTAGCTGCTAGTAATCTGATACAAGAATAACGATAAGAATGATGAAGAAGAAAGAATAGAAAGAGGAAAGGTTATTTCATTGATAAATCAAGAAGTTCTATGGGAAGCTTCTTGCCCAAGCATATAGTTGATTACAAATCACACAATACACAATATCATGTAATAAACACGCCCTTATGATCTATATATGTAATCTCCTCTCAATATTCTCTTTAACAGAAAGGCTAACTGTTCCATTTGTGTCTCCAACTAGTCCTTGAGGAAGGTCTGGTTCAACAAGAGCACTTCCTACTAACTTTTTTGAAGGCAAAAACATGGAGTATCGGGTAAATTCGGGTTAATTCTGGCTATTATAGTTTGTAGGCAACTAGATTTACTTTTGAAGT